TCTTATTATCTGTCTTTGAAGCTGAGCCTTTTATTTACTGCACCTGCTTATAGAGTGTGCACTGTGGAAGTCAGAGCCTCTCTGTCCACACAGCATGGACACAAGAAAGACCTATGTCTGGGGTCAGGACAATTGAATTCCAGACTCTGTTGCTCTCTCAAGTGACCATAGGCAAATGGCTTGTCACAACCACCTAGCCTCTGCCTCTGAGCCTTGGCTTCCTTCTCTGTAAAACGTCAGGGTTTCAGGCCTGGAGAGATGGCTAAGAGTGCTTGCCACACAAACATGAGGATTTGAAATCGAATCTCAGTAACTATGGGAGTGGTGGTGTTTGTCTACATCTCCAGTGCTGTTGTGGGCAGAGAGAGGATGATCACTGGGACTTACGATCACAAGCTTAGCTCCAGATTCAGTGAGAGGTCTTGTCCCAGGGAATAAGATAGGGAGTGGCAGAGCAGGACACCTAATGTCCTCTTCTGGCCTCCACACACATGCACAGCTTATAAGCCCACACATATAAGAGTGTATACAACACATGCACACAAACACTCAAACACACAAAATGGTGGATGTAGGCCAACTAATTTCACAAATGTGATCCTGAGTTTTCTGTTTCAATAAATCTAATTACTTTCAAAACAAGCATAATTTGCTTCAGTTTTTATCACAGCCATCTCTTCTTGGGAAGGCTCTCCCTAACCACAAGGTCTCTCCCTCTTGGCACTCTTATCCCCAGTCCTGATCTAGATTTAATATTACACACTGTACACAACATCTGTTTACCCCTAAGATGCAAGTTCCTGGAGGGTGGGGAATTTTGTGTCTTGAACACAGCTGTGTTGGTGAAACAGTAATATTGCCAGGAACGTAGTAGGTGCACAGCCAGTCACTGAGTGAATAAACATGCTTCCCCAACCGTCTTGAACACAGCTGTGTTAGTGAAACAGTAATATTGCCAGGAATGTAGTAGGTGCACAGCCAGTCACTGAGTGAATAAACATGCTTCCCCAACCTTATCGTCTTCACCATCACCAGCCGTCCCATCTGTCCCTGAAGGAGGTTGCTTGCTCTGCATCCCCACCCTGCCCTGTGTTCCCCAGGAAGGTTGGCTGTAAGTAGAGCACTTTCTAGAGGTTGTCTCATTAGAAGTAGGCAATTCTCCACCTGTGGAGCCTGTGGCTCCCCCTGCCTGTGGGTTCTGGCAGGGCTTCTTTCAAACCACCCCAGCAATAGCAGGCATTTAGGCAGGTGGGTAGCTTAAGTCTTCAGATCATGGAACCTCCCATCCCAAGCCACTCATGGGGGTGGGAGAGGGCTCCCCACAGGATCCTCCTCCAGTTATGGCTGAAGCTATGCATTGACTATATAGAAACATATGTGTGTGGGTCTGGGGTAGGAACATGTGAGGATAAGAGTTGTGTGCAGGGTCGAGGCCCTCTTCTGTTGGCTTGCTCTCCATGGGCACTCAGCATGTCCTCAGTGCAGTCAGAGTGTGCCTCATGCCCTCACTCTAGCTGCAGGGACTCTCAGAGACTCAGATGTGGGGATGGAGACATTTCCCCCCAGAATCATGCCAAGAGGTCCCAGTTGCAGGCCCTGCTCCTGGTTACTAAAACATTCAGTCTTCGTACAAAGAGATCCTTTTATGACACCTTATTTTTCTTTAGCTGTGGAGGTCCCAAAAGTCCCCAGGTCTAGGTTGGTTCTATGTGCACTCCTGCTAAGGATCTTTCCAGAAGCCCAGAGACAAGTGCTGCCTCCCTGAGACTGGTTCCCTTTGCCATTCAGTGCTGCATGTGCCAAGCCCAGGAAATCTTCAGGGCATCCTCATCCCTCTCCATCCATCCATCTTCTGCTTCTCCTGCCTGGCTGTGCCTCGGCAGGGGCTCCTGAGCAATGTTTCATATAACCACCCGTAGTTGCCTTTCATGGGCCAGGGATGCGGTCTCGGAGGAGGACCCATCTGTGCACACATAACTGCTCACACGCATGCACATGAATCTGCCCCAGAATGAGAGGGCCAGTGTGCTACTTCTGACACTTGATTGTGCGTGTAGTTTGTACACGCACGTGCAGCCCACACTTCTCTGCACACACGCGTGTATGCATGTCGGGTATGTTCTGATCCTGGCTCACTGATTGAAAATTTCATTAGCAGACAAGCAGTCCCCAGAAGGACTGGAGTCAGCAGTTATTTTTCCAGCTCACAAAGCAGCATGGGTTTGGCCGCACCTGGTCCACCAGTCTTGGCCCCACAGAGAACTGGGGGTTGGGGAGGGGACTTGACATACTATCGCCGGCTTCCGGTGCCTGTCTCATTCTTCCCCACCCCTTTCTTCACCCTGTCCCAATCTGATCCCCCTGACATGATGCACTTTCTGATGTCCAGGAGCCACGGAGTTTGGAGTGTTACCCCTGCACCCACTCCTCCCTCCCTGGAGCCAGGGCCCCTTGCCATGCCTAGGGGCTCTTCCTCCCCCCCCTCCTTGGGGAGCTCTTGGAAGAGCACAGCCGCTAATCAAGCAGCGTGATCATAATCAGCTTTGATGGGCTCTTCTGCAAAAGTGCATTCTAATGAGGTGGGGGAGCTGGGCTGAGAGGGTGGGGGTGGAGGAGCCAAGCTTCCAGAGTGGTGGGGGAACTGGCTTCCAGGCCTTTACATGAGTGTCTGGTCTAGAGAGGAAGCAGGGGCTCTTACCCCTCCTATGGCTACATATTTTTTTTTTTTTTTCAGATCCTGATGAGGAGGAGCTGGAAGGTTTGCACACAAGCCTGTATCACACACAGATAGACACACTCAGATACACACAAATAGACACATAGATACACACATAGGTAGTCAGACAGAAACACAGACCCCCCCCCCCCCCCCAAGAATCCACAGTGTTTTGGGGGCAAAACAAAGCCAGTAGGGCAGAAACAAGCTGTGCTTGTAGAGGGCAGAGAGAGCCCAGAGCCCAAACCCAGTGATGGACAAGGGAAGGGTGTTGCTACGCACTCTCCACCCCTCTCCTTGGGTTGGAAGACATTGTCACTCTGCACTATCACTACAGGCCCAGTGAGTCGCTGAGCCTGAATGCATCAGATTCAATTCATTAGGACTGATCGCTCCCTGAATGGGGCTGAATAATTGATGAGCAGAGAGCAGCTTTCAGAATGTTCCGAGTACTCAGAGGCTTGCTGGAGCCCTGTTATGTTTATTATTTTTTTCTTTTAGCTGACAAACCCAGCCAAATGCTTGCTGGAGCATTGGGCGCAGGGAGCAGAGCAGAGGTTAGACGCTTTAATATGTGATGTTTACACTGTGCGCTCTCGGCCCATTGCTTGTAACAGAAATGGATACAGGCTTCTGTGATGCCCAGTGGGGTGGAAGCAGGGCAGGCGGGGCTGTGCCACATCATCACCAAGTCCATTTGCACAGTTGTGGGATGGGATTGTGGTCCTGACTTGTGGGCTCATGGGCTGCCCAGAAAGGGCACTAGGTAGGAAACACCCTGGTATTGCTGCAGCCTGAAGCAGGGAGGTGGCACTACTACTGTGTAGCCCAGCTCTCCTTCTCAGGCCTGAGATAGCCACCAAGCTCCCAGTTCTAGGAGTTCACAGTGTGACTTCCCATCAGTTACTCCAACTCAGACTAATACCTCAGAATTGGTTCAACAAACACGTGCCGTCTGGCACTGTGACAGGTGGCAGGGCGGGTACCCAGGGTGCATGTGACTCGGCCCTGAGAACTGATCAGGGTGAGCCAGATGACAAAAAGATAAGAAGCTCAGGAAGGAGGGCTTCCTCCACCTTTCACTGTGACTGTCAGGTTCCAGGGCCTTCCCATCTGTGAAGCCATTGAAGGACCACCACCAAATACAGCATGTATTCCCTCAAACACTTTCTCTCCTAGGCAGCCCTTTCCCTGTGCACATTCGATGTTGCTTCCAGGGTCAGAGCAGGATGAATCCAGGTTTGAGACCTTCAAGGGCTCCCCATGTGTTGGCCCTTCTTGGCCCGGGCCTGTGATCTGTCTTCCTTCCCTGGACCCTGGCCTTTGCTTAGCTTTCCCTTCCTGAATAATTGTCCCTCCATCTCTTCCCTTCTGGATATGTAGGAGAGGTCTTTTCAGCTTCCCCTGTTTGCCCTTCAGGATGGATGCCTTCAGGAGGAACACCCCCAGGTGACAGGGGCCCCTCCTTGGTCTCAAGGGTATTAGCTTTCTTCTGTGACCCTCCAAACACTACATGTCCCCTCTGTTCTTGAGGTGGAAACTGGAGCTGATGGTAGGCTCCTAGCCTGTCCTCTTTAGGCCTGCATTGTACTCCCATATTTCCTGGTCAGGCCCAGCAGGATCCACTTCCACTGTCCCTAGAACCCACAGGACCCTCATCCCAGGTGCTCTCCAGACAATCCCCATGCCTGTAGATCCCAAAGGGTGCTTTTGGGGGCTCCCTAACTACACCATCCCAGAGCCAAGGGAGCAGAGGTTAGTGGCTTCTGAATTGTTCCTTCAAAATCAGTGTACCTGTAGACTTAGGGGCTTGCCCCTGAGAGGGTGACACAGACATTTAGCATCCACCTAGACCCCTGCTCCAGTCACCCATCAGGTGACTCAGAAAGCTGTGGTGGGTTAGTAACTGAGCTCCAGGCCTCAGAGAGCTAGGACATAGTCTTGCCCCATGTCATCTCAGAGGCTGGAGGTGTCCATTCTGGGCCAGGATGGAGCCAGGGTGGTTGGTGTATGCTTCCTCTACCTTGGCCTGCTGCCGTTCTCTGGGGTGGGCCCTACTAGGTACCTGGTGGCTCCTTCCTGACATCAGTGGCCCAGTGTAGGCCACCATCCCTTATCTGAACCCCTGCCCAGAAAACAAGCTGCCTCCTCTTGTCTACAGCTAAGCTTTCAAACCCCTGCTCTTTTATCCCCCCTGCCTCACTCTGTCACCTTTCTTCTAAAGACCAGGCCATTCAATCTTCCTTGGGCTTCAACTCACTGGGGATTGCCTTCTGCTGGGCACCTGCACCAGCTGCCTGGGAGGGAGGCAGGCAGGCTGCAGGTGGGGAGGGACCTACCTTTGACGGCCACGTGGACACTCTGGCTGATGGAAAGCTGCGGCTGGATGAGAACACTGCACAGGTACTCCCCCTCATCCATGCCCTTCTGCACGTCTGTCAGCTTGAGGGTTCCATTCTCAAACACCACCTGACGGTGGTTATCCGGCAGCAGCAGGGCATCCTTGTACCACTTGATGGAGTAGTAGGGGTAGCCAATGACCCTGCAGTTGATGAGTGTGTCCCGCCCGGCGACTGCTGTGATGTTCCTCATTGCCCGGATGCTGGGGGGTCCTGGGGAGTGTGGGGGAAAGTGGAGAGAAGGGGCTGGTGGCACCATGAGCCAGTGCCATTTTGTGGTGGGGCTCTTCTCTCTTGCCTGGTCCCTGAGACTCCCTCTGGGGAAGGGAGGCCTTTCTCAGCTAAGTGCAGAGGCCAGGATGGGGGCCACCCATGTGACCCCCAGAACTCACTGTTGTTATCGTGAAATAGTCGCAAACAGGTGTGAGCCACACATGGCTATGAGTCCAATTCCCAGCCTCGACAGGAACCACCAGGATTGGGCCAGGTGAATGCTTATTTAGGGAGAAACTAGGATCAAGGTGTCAATAGTGAAGCAGGGATATCATGCTTTTCTCTGCTTGCTCACACTGCATTCGTATAGCGAACAACCTCTCCTTTAGTAATCAACTATCCGGAAGAAGGTCTGGGCCATGTGAACCCACATGGTCTTTTTCCAATCAGGGAAATTGTGTTGTGGGTACCCGAGAAAGGGCTGCAAAGCTGGGTTCTGACTACGTTGCCAGGGGGTGGGAGTATTTTCAGCTGGCGGCAGGAAGCATTGTGGGGGTGGGAGAAGGAAGCTTAGAGGTCACCATGAAGGGAAAGAACTGAAGAGCAGCAGGGAACTCTGGGGCAGAACTAGAAAGGACAGAACTAGAAAGTCTTCTGGGGCTCTGTAGCTCTGTGGTGGCCTCGGACTTGTTATGGGATGGGAGAGCTGGAACAGCTGGTGAGTTTAGAATGATCTCCATTTCCACCCCCTTCCTGTCTCAGGGAAACTGTTAGCACCCCTGGACTGGTGTCCATTTCTGACAGGCTTCCCTGTCCTCTTGCCTTTGGGTTAGAGGCAATTAGTAGGGTCCAGAGAGAGGGCCCGTCAGACTGAGAGGGCTATAGGGCATCAGAGGAGACAGCTCTTACCATGTTAACTTGGAGAACTGAGGTAAGGGGAGGGCTGGCACCTTGTGGACCCTTCTCCTACTCCTTCAGGCTGCCTATCTCTGGGAGTCACCCAACTCTGGCCCCGATTTCAATCTTCTACTTGAGCCGTGCAGTTGAGAACATGATCTCCAGGCCCCTGGCTGTCTACATCTCCTGGAACATTTCAGGGTTGGCTCTGTGGAGAATGCTGGGAGCTCACTAGTATTAAGGTTGAGTTTGCCCTACTTCTGTCTTTGTCCTTTCAAGACCCTGCTGGGGGCTGGCAGATGCTAGCAGGTGCAGAGAGCACTGGGGGCCCAGAGTGGTTTGATGGGATGGATGGGGTGGGGAGGATGGGCAGGCCAGATTGTGGGAGAGAAGGGGGGTGGGGAGGAGAATGGGATGGATTCTACCAGACACACACTCACACACAAGAATGGTTGATGGGACTGTGGTGGGAAGGTCACAGAGAGAGAGAGAGAGAAAGAGAGAGAGAGAGAGAGAGAGAGAGAGAGAGAGAGAGAGAGAGAGAGAGAGAGAGAAGAGAGAAACCTCCACTAAAATCAAAATGACAGTTATTAAGAAGCACACAAGAATGGCAGTGACCACAAGATGGCAAAGGAACTCAAAAGCCTATTCTGATATTTAAATGTGGACAGGCACCTCTTACGTTTATTCGCGCCTGATATTCAGCACTGCCCACCGAGTTCCGCGCTGTGCACCGGTACACGCCCCCATCCCGGATCTGGGGGCCCGTGACGTTCATGTGGCTGATGGTGGTGCCGTCGGACATGGTGTACTGGTTGGTGCGGTGGCTTCCATCCCGCACGATGGGCTCGTCGTCCAGGGCCCAGGTGACCGTGGGGGGCGGGGCGCCCTTGGCAGCACACATCAGTGAGAACTGCTCCCCGGGGTTGACCACCTTCTCGCTGAAGGATGAGACGATGCGGGGCGTGCCGTCTGCAGGGAGCGAGGAGCCCCCTTCAGGGTCACTGAGTCACAGAGAGACTATCCCCCCAGGCCACCCACCCAGTGACTGGGAGGAGGCAAAGTGGCAGCCAGGATAAAGACAAAGGGCTGTCACGTGTGGGCTTGTGCTATACACAAACCCAATGAGGTGCAATTACTACCGTGGAATGAGACACAAGGCTTTGAGCAGGCTGCTTCATTGGTGGCTGATGGGAAGAACGATGATGACAATTACTCCCACGTCTTCTGGACATGGTGAAGATTAAATTAATTACTATATTCAAGATGCTCCTCTATTTATTAATAAAGACTACAAGGCTCAGAAGGCACACTGTGCATGAAGGCATGTGTGGGTGGAGTCTGAGTGCAGTTTTTGTACTTGACCATGCCAAGGACAGGGAGTAGTGGCATTTAGCCCTATTAACAAAAGACCTTAAGTTTGAGGTTTAAAATGCAAGTTTCCCAGAGACGGTGGAGGTGATGGGAGTCTGGCTAACCACATAATCGAGGATGAGACAATTAATTTCATGTACCATCTTCCTACTGTGGAATGTGGGGGTGGATCATCTTCCCCCACAGGATTGGTGGCAGGGATTACAAAGGCATTAGACACACAGTATCCCATAAATATGTATGCTTATTGTATGTCAATTTAAAATGAAAATATGTCTGGAGTAATAGTGCGTGCAGGAGGCTGAGCCTGGAGGATTGCCACCAGTTCAAGGCCAGCCAGCCTGGCCTACATAGTGAGACCTTGTCTCAAAAATAAATAAATAAATAAATAAATAAATAAATAAACAAACAAACAGATAAATAAAAAGATAATAAAAGTAGATGCTGAAAATAAAGTAATAAATAAACAAATAAATAAATAAATAGCAGGGCAGATGTCATAGTGTTATTGATATTCTTCAATGTTACACATCAAATGCCAATGTTTACCAGAGACCTGGCCAGCCTGCCAGCCCTGTCCCTACCTCTGGATGGAAGAGATACTTATCTAGAACTGGGGAGAACTTGTTTTCCTGGGCCTGGGAGGATGTGGCAGTGTCCTGTGACCTCTGGCTCTTCCTTTTCCTCCTCTCTTCCCTCTCTATGCTGGCCCTGCCTTCCTGCTTTCCACTCCCAGCTTCATTTTCCATGTCTCTGCTCTCCAGGGCCACCCTCTAAAGTGCCAGAAGTCTACCGAAGGCAAGAGGTTGCCCCTTGCAATTGAAAAAATGAGCTAGCTAGTGGGGTGCTCCTAAGTGGGAGGCTTCTGAGATGATGGCTATCTATTTCGAAGGATCTTGCACTGTGATGGCATATTTTGTGGGAAGAGCAGTGAGGGACTGGTTGAGCAAGCATTAGGGTTTATTGTGCACAGCCCTGTGGGCAGGAGGTGGGGGGCACAAGGTCTTAGGTTCGGTGGTTCAGTAACTGCCTAGCTACGGAGTCCCAAAGGCCCTGTAGTGAGACCAGGAAAGACCCATCCTTGCAGGCCTGAGTTTGGCATCTTTGTTAAAACAGAGGTGGTATTTGCTTGTTGCTATTTTTTTTGTACAAAGGATCAGCTGGGGACACACTAAACCTAAACTTGTTGGAAGGCTGGGTTCCTGCCAGCCCTGAAGGCCCCTTTGTACTAACGAGCAAGAAGCATCTCCTCCGTGTCCTCAGCCTGGTGCTGGGGTTCATAGCTGGGCAGGTGGAATATAAGCTTGATTTAGTTCTGGTCTTTGGCTAAACACCTTGCACTGTGCACAGTGTGAATAAGCATGCCCAGAGGTACTGTGTGATGGACCCTGGGTGGTGGCAGGTGTACCAGGAGAGAGAATAGGATGGAAACGGAGACCCCTGGTTAGAAACAGCCTGTTGGGAAGAGGCCACAGATTGGAAAGGATTCCAAAGTTCAGAGGTTTCTGGCACCACAGCCTCTGGAAAACCCAGAACCTCTAAGACCCTAAGGAAACCCCTCTACTAAGAAAGTGCTAGTAACTGTTGAGGGCAAAGGTAGTATATGATATAGTATTGCCATACTATATCATAGTATAACTATATAGTATTGTTAAAAACCCTTGTTCACTGGACATGTGGCCAAAGCTTCCATTTCCTCAACTTCAAAATAGGGGCCATTAAAAAGGACTTCTGCACAGGACTCTTGCAAGGCTGATGGGAGGGCATGGTGCCAGCCATGTGTGCACTGAGCACTGGACTGATGCCTCTCAGGAACTACAGCCCTACTCTGCCTTGCCACCCACACCCACTCACCTTCCAGCACAATGATGGCAAAGTCCTGGGCTGTCTGGGTCTTGCGGGTGGCAAAGCACTGGTAGGCTCCCGAGTGGCTCTTCTGGGCGGAGGAGATTAGCAGAGTTTCATTGCTGAGTCCACGGATGGAGATGGCCTCCCCTGGCAGCACCAGTTCAGTGTTTCGGTACCAGCGGATGGTGAACTCTGGGGAGCCCGTGAGGGCACAGGACAGGATGACCGTGCTACCGATGCCCGTCTTCAGCTTCTTTGGTGTCAGGGTCACATGAAGGGGGTCTGAGTGGCCAAGTCGGGCAGATGTGAAGGCATAAAAGGAGGTGGGAGGAGAGGAAAGAGTTTACCGTGATGGCATGTGACTGGATGGATTGAGGTCAGAGCCCAGCTCTGCAAACACATCTGGGTGAGATTTGAGACTAGGAAATCCCCTGCTCTGGGCCTCGGTTTATTTACAAGGTACAAGGCAGGATTTTCTGCAGAATGTCTTGCTCTGATGGCCTCTACTTCCCTGAGGTGGGTCCCTCTGCTTAGGCAGATCTTCCAGGCTCCCTTCACTCACCCAGAAGCCTAGGATCTTGATTTACGAGGCACTCAGAAATCAGAAGGCACACTTCTTCCTATCAGCTGCCTCTCATCCCCATGCATGCCACTAGCCCCTGCTTCCTGCTAGCCTGATGTCCTTCCTTTACACGCATGTGGGGCTCCATCACCTCCCTTCCCCCCATGGAGCAACCTCTTTGATGCAGTGTCCTCCTGCTCAGAACTTTCATGGATTCCCCAAACTCAGCAAGGCATCCAAAACCCCCAGAGACCTAGGGCACTTGCCCTCATCTGCTGTCACTAAGGTTATAACTCTAGAACATCGATGACCTATAAGTGGTTCCTGTCTTCCCTGGAATGCTCAGGTTGCAGAGCCTAAGTTCTAAGCCTAGCATGCTCTGCCTAATTCCTGCTGACCTCTGGTCACTTCTTCCAGAGAATCTTCCTGGATTTCACCTCTCCTTCCACTTTAAGTCCCTCTCCTATCTCCCCACCATGGAATAATCAGTGCCATACTGAGCAGCCTGCCATTTCAGTACCCTTTTTCTCATCCTTTGCATGGTGGGCCACTTGGAAGTAGAGATATGCTCAGCATTATGTCCCCACCAAGACCCGGACTATGAGTATCATTGACCAGATAGTGGACTGGGTGACAGCCCCAAGTTGGCTTCTCTCACTGATTTCTATACCTGAAAGTTCCTGTGCAGTTCAGGCTGCAAGAATGTAGGAACCCAGGGACCTTTCAGGAGGGGATGGCAGGCCTGGAGGGTAGAGGATGAGAGAAGGCTGTACCGATTCCTTTTGAGCCCGAGCCTCCAGCAAGCCAGTGTGTATGTGTGTGTGTGTGTGTGTGTGTGTGTGTGTGTGTGTGTGGTGTGGACATGTGGACAATATGGAGGTGGCGGCCTGTAGCTGAACCAAGGAGTGTGAAACAATGAGGGGAAGTGTGTATTGGTGCAGGTGTATGGACCCCATAACCATGTGGGAATTTGAGGAATAGATGTGTGGATTTTGGATGCTTGTTCCTGTGTTTGTGTGTGTATCTGCCTACTGATGTGCACTAGGGTAGGTGTGAACACCACAACTTCACCTACAGCCATCATGCTGATATTTTAAGGGCTTGTGGTAGGTGTGACCTCCTGATTTGCCCCCCCCCCGTGTGTGTGTGTGTGTGTGTGTGTGTGCGCGCGCGCGCGCGCGTGCGCGTATGTGTTGCTTTTGGCTTTTGAGACAGAATGTGACAATGTGACATAGCCTGTGAGCTTGCCTAGGCTCAAACTCCTAATCCTCCTGTCTATTTCCTGGGTACTGAGATCACAGGTGTGCACCTGGATTAGATGAAACATTTTGGACAGTGTTTAGAAGAAGAGGGGAGGAACTGTTAGGATCCTTCACTGCCAAACTCAAGGTTGGAAGGCCAGCAGAAGCTCTGGAGCATCTGTGACACACCTGAAGGTCTCATGGGAAGGTAGCAAGGGGCTGAGTGATACCTTGGCCAACCTTTACAGCATAGTGGACTCTGCTGAGGATGGAGTAGAGTTACCCTAGATAGCTCCTGCCTTGCCAAACTGGAATGACCTCAGGGAACTGCCATGCTGTTGACTACAATGTTCAGGGGCTCAGGCTAATGTTGCCTGACACCTGGAGGGGTCCTCAGGGGTCCCAGATCCCAGCCCCTTGGCCTCCTGGCTGGCAGAAAATTAGAGCTCAAAGGAGCCTCTGCATCTGACAGATATGGGCAGCTGAAGAGTCAGGATGGATGGTGCTGAGAGATGATGGAGGGCACTCCCATGGCACCAGCTCCTCTGCCTTCACTGCCTCGGTCTGCCCGCTGGGGCTCATAACAGGAGAGGTCTGCAGGGCCTTCCTGCTTTCCATAGCTCCCTGGACCCCTGGGTTCTATGTGGGGAAGAACAGGGAAGGACCAGACTCCATATCTATGGCAGCTCCAGGTGCAACTGACTAGGCTGCCTCTGCTCAGTGCCTGGTCTGATGGATCGGGACCCTTGCTAATTATTCTTAAAAACTTGAACTGTCACCCTGGGTGGAGACACATTCCCGCCTTGTGGATTAACATCAGCATTGACTCCCTCAGCCAGACAGCCTTCCCTAAGAAGCCTAGGAGCTCTCCCTTTCATGAGCTTCCCACAAGACCCCATAGTCAGCTTGACTGCTGAAGAGATCATGTGACTGGAGGTCATGGGTACTGTTGCTAATGCCAGGACTGAAAGACAGGGCCGGGTTCAAACCAGTGACCTCTCCAAGCCATAATCTGCCCTCTCAGTCACTAGGAGCTCCTCTTGGGGCAGCCTGTATGGTGGCAGCACTCCATCACACAGAGGTCAGTACTCCTGAAGGCTGCAGAACTCTCCAGACTCACCGATGACTGTGAGGATGCCGTTGGCCTCTGCCGACCCGAAGGTGTTGGTGACCTCACAGATGTAGGTGCCACTGTCCTCAGTGCGCAGATCACTGATGGTCAGCCCTGTGATACGCTTAGCCCAGCGGCTGTCAGCAGGGAGGGGCCGGCCATCTTTGAGCCAGCGGATGGCAGGGATGGGGTAGCCAGAGGCAGCACAGGGCAGCTCTACTGCATGGCCAGTCCACACTTCCTGGGAGTGGAAGCCATCCAGAATAGTGGGGATGGACTCTGCAGGGTCTGGAAGAAGAGAGGTCAGTAACTGAGGCCATCCTGGACAGAGGAAATAGGAGTAAGGAGAGAGAAGCAAGGCCTCCAGATAGATGCCTCTTCCCCATGCTTATAGAGAGCAGGTTTTAGGGTGGCAGCATTTCCAGAGTACACGTGTCCTCCACGTGTATACCAAGACCAGGGTGAGCCCTGAGAACAATGTTTGTGAGCCAGGCTGTGAGGGTGGCTGAGGACATGGCAAAGCTCAAAGCCAAAGGGTCAGAAAGAACGACCAAGGACATGTATGACAGCTGTCTTTACCCTGGTCTCAGGATGTGACAGTGATGTCTACAGTTTGTGGTTATTGGTGGGCATCCCCAAATGGGTAAACAGTTGGGGCACTCTGCTCTATCTTGAAGTTTTGGTTATGAGCCTAGCCTTTAATGGCCAAGTCAGCTCTTCAGCCCCTTGCTCTGCCTTCTGCTTATAGTCTGGGCAGGCTCAGAGTAACTGGTGCATATGTTAGAGCGCCAAACAGTCTGGGAGTAAATCCAAGAGAAGCCAGCACCCATGGGAGCTGTAACCCCTTCGTGGTGAAAGACTCAAGCCCCAGTGGCTGAGATGTCAGGGTCATTTATGGGTGTTCCTGTCTACTCTCTCAGCCCAACTTTTCATGGGCAGGTGTTTCTGAATTTCTGCTCCTTGGGTCCCATCTCTGCTGTCAGGGGTCACCAAGTTATTCTCCTGTATAGAACACCTCCATTTTTTAAAAGACAGGGTCTCTAGCCAAGGTTGTTCTTACATCACCAAGAATGACCTTGGACTTCAAAAAAATTATTACAGTGGTGTGCGTGTGCGTGTGCGTGTGCGTGTGCGTGTGCGTGTGTGTGTGTGTGTGTGTGTGCGTGCACTTTTGAGCACATGGGTATACATGGGTTATGTGTTGAAGTTAGAGAACAACTTAAGGAAGGAGTTGAGTCTCTCCTTCCACTGTGTGGGCCCTAGGGATCTAACTCAGGTTGTCAGGTGGCGGTACCTTTACCACTGGGCCATCTTAATGCCCCATGATTTCTGGTTTTTGTGCCTTTACCCTGTGAGTCTTGGGATTACAGGTATGCGCCATCATTCCCACTTTATTTTGTGCTTGAGATCAAACCCAGGGCATCCTCTATGACAAGCAGTTTTCCCTAACACACCCTTCTTTTCTTTCTGCTTAGCAGTCCAGGCTTACCCCAAAGGCTTGTCGATCCTCCCCTCTTGGCCTCTTGAGTGCAGGAATTCACAGGCATGAGCTGTCAGCTCTGACTTTTATCCTGACCCCCACAAAGCTGTCTACAACCAAGCCCTGACTGTAGCCTGCCCTACCCTGACTCCACACTAAGGCAAGCTGGGTCACCCAGACATCCAGCCAGTCTGCTCTGTACAGCCCACTCTGACTCATTGTTCACAAGCCAGCCTCAGCGGTGTCTCATGCTTGCCTCCCCCTAGCTGCTGCCACTCTCTCTGGACTCCTGTGGATTTTCCTTTTTCTCCTTCCTTTTCAAACAATTCCTTTTCTTTCTTTCTTTCTTTTTTTTTTAAAAACATGTAAAATTATTTTTTTTGAGCCAGTAATATATGCAGGTGCAAAGCTTCAGGAAGCCAAACAGCATAGATGGAAAGGGGACCTCCCCCAGCTCCTGGCCTTAGCCTTCTCTCTGCCCCTTGAGGCCACAACTGTGGCTACCTGTCTTTTTTTAATAGCAGCTGCCGCAGGCCAGGCATCCATCTTCCTGGAAGACAGCCGGGCTTCTAGAGGCGGTGTTGACCTGCGATGTCCCTCCTGGGCCCAGCGTGGAGCAGGGTTCCTGCCTGTTGAACCTTCCCTTTCTTGTGTGTGTGTGTGTGTGTGTGTGTGTGTGTGTGTGTGTGTGTGTGTGTCAATGAGCCAAGTTTGCTGGATAAACTTGGCTGAGGACTTTATAGACTAGAGCTGTGTTGTGACTTCAGAGAACTCAGAGGGACCAGGCCACTGAGACCAGAGAAGTGTGGGGAGCGGCCCAAAACCACATGGTAGACCAGAGCTCAGAAGGCAGGTTGTCCTCACCCTTGTTCAGCAGATGGGACCCCAGATGGAATAATTTAACATGCTGAATTTTGTTTGTGAGTGAACAGGGGAGCTGCTGACCCCCCACACCTCCCTCCACCAGTGGGGCCATCTGCTCTTTGCTCTTGCCTCTTGGAGAGGGGTCAGGCCTGGAGTATCTCTGGGAAAGGGACTTTCCAGAAGGCTCTTCTGTGTCTCTACTTGTGGCTGGGACTCAGGAGGCCCAAGTACTAGTTCTACATGCTCTCCAGTCTGTCCTGAGACTCACGTGAGTGTCATGACTTCTGCACTGATTGTCTTTGCACACAACAGAGGTGACTATGGTGCCTCCGTATCTGATGTTACTTTCCTAGGTACTGCATGGCAGGATGTGTGCTCCAGTGCTCACAGACACAGGAGGTACCGATGCATCGGGTGATTGCCATTTGATGCTCATCTGCCTTCCCTGCCAGGCTTGCTGTCCTCTCCCCTCCTCCACCCCAGTGGGAATGGTTGATTGGTTGGGATCAACAGAGCCAGTGCCAGAGAAGAATTACTCAATGTGACACTTAATTGATGTGAAATACACAAATTCCATGGCACAGGGCAGAATTTACAAGCAGAGGGGCTGCCAGGGTGGTGGAGGAGGGGCGGGGTAGGGGGGAGAGAATTAATCAATGAGACCCAGGCGTGAAATTAAATTCTGGGGGGTGGTAGGGAAAAGAAGCCTTTTTCATTACTGGGGAGCAGAGAAGTAAAAGGCTATGGTGTGTACACGTAACATCCACGGGGACTGGGTGCTGCCAGCACAGGCACTGGGCTGGGAAAAAAACAGTCAGCCCTGCCTGAGGTTGTGGGGCGCCAGGTCGGGCTGCTGGGTCGTGTGATGTCTGGACCAGGGAGCATGGTGTCTGCTCCTTGACTCTCCTGTGTGTGCTGGGGGGACAGGAAGGTGGTTTCACACTGTCTATTTCCTTGGTCTCTATCTCAAGTTGAGGCTCCTACTAAGTTGTCTGGGATACTGGTGCTCTGTTGAGTGCTTGGGGGAACTCTCTAGAAAGCCCTAAGTCATGTGGGGCAGGTGTTATCTGGGAGGATTTGGGGGAGACATAGACTCTTTCTGTAACTGCCCTGTTTGACTTAGAAAACAGAAAAAAGAAAAGTTGCCCACTCTTGTACCCTGCCTTGGGTATGTGATAGGAATCAGGGCGTGGCAGGGGCAGTGCAGAAACAGCAGCAACGTAGATCTCCCTGCCAAAGCTGCTACGGCTTGACTTATGGAGGCTTCACAGGCATCAGGTGCCACTGAACTCCACATACTGTGGCCTGCCACCTCGTATCCTCACTCCGCCAACTAACTGTATCTGCCATTCTTGGTTCCCAGACCAGGGAGTAGAGGTTGGAGACTTTATTGGATACTTGGTAGCATAGCTCACAAGGAGCCTCTTGCCTTCTTGCAGACATTTCTAGCCCAAGGGGCAGTCCCCTCTGGTTCCTCTCACCTTTGTATGTGAGGAATCCTTTCAGGAACTCTAGGCCCTGGCCTTAGAGGCATGGAGCAGCTGCTCCCTTGGGACAGGCTGGGCTTAGGAGTGGGTGGGGGCAGTGAGCTGGTGAGCCTGGAGGTCAGAGCTCTCCTGATGCCATGCCCCGCTTCCCTCTCATATCACTTGCATTTTTGCAGAGACAAGCAGATTGCAGACAAGCGGCCTTGTCACATCACATCACATCAGGGCTCTGCATCACTGTGAGGCCTCCCTTCCTCTCCTTGCTGTTCACTTCCCTCCAGTGTCTTCCTTCCTTTCCCCTCACTTCCCTTTGTCTTTTTGTCTCTCTGGTCTGGGTCCAGGTCCCCTCTCCTGGATTGACCTTTGTATCTGACCTCTGTTCCTTAAGGTAGGGTTTTTATCTCCCAGCCCTCAGGAATATGGTCTCTCTCTTACTGTTCCTCTACCATGCCTTTTACCCACCATGATGGTGTAGGATGAGAAAGAGAAAAGCTGGCATAGCCTCCAGCTTCTAGAATCTGTTCTTTTGAGGGACCCCTGCCTAGTTCTCACATCTCACCCCCATAGCTGGAGGTCCAATCATCAGAGCAGAGAACCAAGGACTTGGTGGAGGAGAGCAGAGCAGGCCTGCAAGAGAAGGTTTCTGGGCCTCCCACCCCTGCACTGTATGAGAAGCATGCAAATGAGATGCAAAACACCATGCAAACAAGGCCCTGTAATTTGGAAGCAAACCACTCCAATGCAGCACACTGAATTGGCTGCAGATTCAGAAGCACTACCACACAGTCTGTGCTCTGGCCCAGTGTCATCCCCTCACACAGAAGCACAATTTCCATTGGTGCTCATTAATGCCACAAATGTTTACTTGGTACCTATTGTGTGCCACACATAGGACCAGACATCAGAGACACAAGGGGTCAAACTGTGTTGCCTGGTTACTGACTCCTGATCCCTGAATCTTGTTTTTTTTAGCTATGCAGGACCCATATGAGATGGGTCCTGGGGAGTCACCTGTTGATGAGGGTTGACCCCTGCAAGCCACAGGTGGCAGAAGCAGACAGAGGGGCTGAGTCCTTCTCCAGGGCCTGGAGTGGGGCATTACCTCGTGGTTTTAATTCTCACAAAGTGAGGTTCTGACTATGAGTTCATCTTCCCTCTAGAAGCCATTCTACCCTACCTCCTCAACCACAAAGTGAGGGAATTAAACTCAGAAGACTATGAGTTCATCTTCCCTCTAGAAGCCATTCTACCCTACCTCCTCAAGGCAAGGATGTTTAAACTGTAGCTCAAAACTCCCCAGGAGGCTGTGATAGCTGTTCTGTGGGTTGCAATCAGCACTGAGAAAAATCCAAGTAGCATGGGATACAATAGGAAACACTGGGTGCTGAGGGTATAAATTTGGTGGCGTGCTTGCCTAGCATGCACGAAGTTCTGGATTTGACCCTTAGCATAGATCTGGAGTGGTGGTTCATTTATAATCCCAGTGCTCAGGAGGTGGAGGCAGCAGAATCAGAAGTTCAAGGGCATCATCAGGCCAGTCTGAACACTCAGACTTTTTAGGGCTCAGTCTCAGAAAACAAAAAGACAAAACTATATGAAACCAGACAAACCGAAAACCCCACATGTCGGAAAGTATCAGAAACTTGGTGTGGTGACACATGCTTGTGATCCCAGAACTTGGGAAGCCAAGGCAAGAGGATCACTGAAGATACCTCTAGAAAAGCTCCTACATCAAGATTACTTGACTCAAGCTAGATGAAGTCTTGTCCAATGGTATCTATGTCCATGACTGCTGCTCTCTTTCTCAGAGTGGATACATAGGCATCCTGTATCCATGGAGGGTCAGCGCACGCCGGGCAAGCAGCCTACCTGTCACAGAGAGCCGAGCCCCGTTGCTCTGCCGAGTCTCCCCACTGTATTTGTGCTTAGTAATGCAGCGGTAGGTGGAGAGAGCGTCTTCCTTCTGCACGTCTGAGATGTACAGCCCACCGTGTGATGTGATGAAAAACCTGTTTTCTGGAGACACAACCAGGTGGAGCCTGTTACTTCTGGCTGAGGCAGCTCTGACTGGCAGGTGACCTGCCTGGAGTTATCTTGAGCCAAGGCAGTAGGGAAAACCAGGGAGGAGGTGGTGTGGCCTCATAGGTGTGTTGTCACCAATAGTCAAGGCTTTTAACCACACACCAACACAATGACAAGGAGAAATAATGATACTTTTTTTTTCACTGTAGTCCTTATGTAGCCCAGACTGGTCTCAAACTCAGGACCTTCCTGCCTCTGTCTTGAAGCACTGGATTGCAGTATATGCCACCACACCTGACAAGAAATTGGGCTTTAAGTCAGACTGAATAAATGTGGTGTCTCCATTGGGTTTTTCTACTTACTAACGTTGTTGCGATCTTGGGTGTTGCTTAGCTCCCTGAGCCTTAGACATACAATAAAGTGCAGATACTCCTACCTAGGCTGGCTATATCAAACGTCTGCATGCTGACAGTGCTTATACATTGTGGAGGAGTCCTCTCATTTCTTACCCTTCGAGAAAAGTCTGCAAAACTTCCTCATTCATTGCCCAGTGACTCTTAGAATTGCTGGTCTCTTCTTTAGTGGAAGAAGCCAATGTGTAGTGAAGTGACTGGCCCATACTGCAATCAGTCACTGGCCAGGAACCTGGGGGTTCTCCCAGCCTTCCTTCTAAGTGAAACACAAGCTTAAATATTCTTTCTGCACGGGGGCTGTGGAGAGGCAGACACAGTCATCACCAGCAGTCATGAACAGCCATGGGACAAATGTTGTGTTTACTGTGGTGCCACTGTTCCTGCCTCACTGTCATCCCTGGGGTTTTGTTATGGTGTTCCCCATCAGGGTTTGGCAGGAAAGCAGAGTAGACCAGCAGTGGGGCACTCACTTGGCTGTTGCTGTTGAACTTGTCCACAGCAGAGTGGCCTTCTCTGTGTGGTTTCCCCAGTGAACCTCAACTCTGAGCTGAAGAGAGATGATTTAAGGGAAGAGGTGGCTTTGGCCTAGGGAGAGGCTGGTGGCAGCTGAGGACTCTGCTCTCTGAGAACAGAAGAGATCAGACAGTCTGGGGCCATACCTGGGCTCCGCTATTACCCTTAGATAACAGTGCTTATCCAGGAAGGATGGGGTCAGAGTAGGGGAGTGATTCGAAGCCACCAGATGAACTGGTCAGCATGACAGGCTCTAGGATGAACCCTGCATCCTACCTACTGGATCTTACAGCGGTCTGCTTCCCTTTACCTGGGGCAGACTCACAGTCCCTCCCTCAACCCAGAGCTCTAGCTGTGGCTTACCCTATAAGGAATGTTTCATGCATGCCCCAAGCATACACTTAGGGGTGATAGTGCGTGCGTGCGTGTGTGTGTGTGTGTGTGTGTGTGTGTGTGTGTGTGCACACATGCATGCACTCACACTCTTGTAGACCTTGGGTACTGCTCCTCAGCAGCTGTTCACATCTTTGGTTTTTTGCTTGCTTGGCTTTTCTTTCTTTCTTTCTTTCTTTCTTTCTTTCTTTCTTTCTTTCTTTCTTTCTCTCTTTTTTTTAGAAAGTGTTCTCGCTGACCTCGGACTCACCATGTAGGCCCGTCTGGTTGGTCAGTGAGCTCTAGGGACCTGCTTGTCTCCACCTCTCTGGAGCTGGGATTACTAGTGAGCATCACCACATCAGGGTCTTTGTTATATGGGTTCTGGGGATTGAACTCGGACAAGCATTTTCCTGAATGAATACTTCCCTGGTCCGTAAATTCAGTTCTGAGAATCTAGAGGTGAGGATGAAAGCAAAAGACATTTTCCTCCTCAGAGGCCACAAAACTGCAGGCTGACAAGTTTAATGTTCTTGACAATATCTTTGAAAAGTTTCTCTGGGTTTCTCTCGAATAAATATTTATTGGTGTGTGTGTGTGTGTGTGTGTGTGTGTGTGTGTGTGTGTGTGTGTGTGTGTGTGTGTGTGGATCAAAGGACACATTGTGAGAGTCAGTTCTCTTCTTCCATCATGTGTGTTCTGGGGGTTGGGCTCAGGTTGCCAGGCTTGGCAGCGAGCACTCTTACTCATGGAGCCAGATCACCAGCCTGTCATAGTTATTTCTTCAATATGGCTTTAAATAACTTCATCAGTCTGGGCTCTTCTGAATGAAATTTGGTCTAACTACAATCCTCCTAATCACTTCTCCCTTCCTTCCTCCACCCTCCCCCACTCTTCCCTACAGTGCCCCAGGACAGCTTTTTTTTGCCAAGTATGAAGCCCTAAAAATCACACTCTGCTGATCCAGCTAGGGAAGGAAAACACTCTTCACATAGCATGGGGCTAACTTTTTGGTGAGATAGTATGAGGAAGGAAGCAGCACAGTCAGCTAAAGCCCTGATTAAGCCATGTGACCCGGCTGGTTACTGTCCTCCATGTCCCCTTTTGGGCTTACTCCTAAGTCATCTAGGTCATCCCATGGTCTGACTGCCTTTTATTGGGAGTTCTCAAAGCTGATCCAAAGGACACCAGCAGCCCTCCTCCTTGGGGTGCCCAGGGAGAAGCACCATGGGCAAAGTCAAAAAGGGGAGAAAGGCGGGTGACAGAACCCTCACCCCTACCCCCTGGGTAGTGATGTGACATCCTAAAGTCAAGTGTGAAAGCCCTCTGGACATTTAGTATGTAACTGGGACTGGGGTGCAGAGCTACTGTGGGGTGTCACCATGGATCAGAGGATGGGGAGGAGTTGTAGGGGAAGCCAGGACAGTTATCAAAGCACTGTTAGCAGCACACAGGTACCCCAGCCCTGATCAGCCTGAATCCTGTGGCCCTGGCCACCAGCATCCCAGGACCCACATAGCCCTGTGCTACTGGGATTCTGCACCCAGAGTGGAGGGTGGGTGGGGTGATGCTGATGCTGGTGGGGATCTGGGTTTCTATAGCAACCAGCAGCTGCTGCATCGGATGTTTCCCATCCTTCATTGTCCTCATTTTCCCCTCCCTTCCCCCCTGTGCATATTTAATTGCAGTAGCGTGTTTTTTTTTCTCTCCCTCTCCCTCTGTCTCTCTCTGTGTCTTTTTTTTTCCAGACACAGTGTTTTGCTCCCACTGAAACAAAGACAGGCTACAGCCCAGAGATGCACAGTGTGAGAGGGGAAGGAGAAATCAGGGATATTATGTTAATCTCTTTTTGAGGGGTGGGGCTCAGCTACAGTGGTTTGCATGTTTGACGAGAATCAAAAGAGGAGGTTGGGGGGGAGGTCTCTGCTGGGGACAGGAGGCTAAAGAAGTCTATGGAGGAGAGAGCCAGAGTCTTGAACAGTGTGCTAAGCCCTGGGAAGACATATCTAGCTGTGGGCCTTAGCCAGGCCAGGATTCAATAATATGATGGCCTCCAATGCTATTTGGTAGCTGTTGTGGCATAGAGGGTGGTGACTGGAGATGATCTACATCTTTGGTTCCTCCTCCTAAAAGCAAGAGGTGTCTCTCTGCAGGAAAGTAGTGCAGCTGACCCATGGCTACTTGAATGGCTTAGGTAGCTGTAGGGATGGGTGGAGGTGTTGTTCGATTTCTAGTTAATACCTCCGTGAGAGGTGCTGACAGCATCAAAGCTGGTGTGGTCCTCGTTGCTGGATACCTGAGTGACCACTGTGAATGCCAGTAGCACCCCTGAGGGTTTTTGCTTGTGAGTCACCCCACTCTTAGGATAGAAGAGCAGGAGAGGGAGCTGTGCTTCATCTTAAACTCCGCCTTGTCATATGGCACCCCTGTCATCATGCTCTCGTTCAGGGAAAAGGTGTGTGGTTAGTGCACCCTTTTCTTCTTTCTATTATCACACCGCATGTCCTGGCCTATTTTGTCATTCTCTTCTTTGGTGTCCTTGACAGACCTTCTAAAGTTAAATATTTATTGAACATCTGTTAGACTCTAGGCAAGAAGAGGGCAATGCAGATGTAGGTGCACAGGCGCAGAGAATGCCCTGGAGAGATGTCGGGAGGACAAACTGATGCATCCCCAGACAAGAATTGACAAGGATCACCAGTAACCCAGGGAAGCTGAGAGCTTGGAAAGACCCTTCCCTGGTGCCTTTGGAAAACCAACTCTGTCCACACCTCAACCTAGGCCTGCAGAACTGGGTGTGTACAGCAAGTCTGCTACATAAAGCCATACAGCCTGTGCATGGGCATCTCTGGGACACTGGCATGACACGGGGTGTCCTCTCTCAGAGCTTCTGCTGCTTATTCATTCGAGGAGGGAGAGGGTCAGGGGAGTGTTCCCTCCATGTTTGTTCACTATTTTCACCCAGGGAGCTTTGCAGATCTTGTGGGTGTGGTGGTTTGGAAATAAGCTTTTGGGAGATGCTGGCCTGTGGAGCAGGGAAGTCCTTAGTCAGAAACAGTTGGAAGGACTCTTGACTCTTGCATATGGGCATCCCCACTCTCCTTTAGGAGGACGAGAAATGGACAGAACACAGGTCATGGTCTCTGGAATGTGGGGGAATTAGATAGGGCTCTGGCCACCAGGCTTCCAGGCTACATCTTATGGAGGAGACAGGTGGGCCTGGATTTTGGCCACTTTGTAGGATCCTGGAATCTTGCCGTAAGGTCTTGTGTGTGTGTGTGTGTGTGTGTGTGTGTGTATGTATGTATGTATGTATGTATGCGTGTATTATGTATGTGTGTTGTACATGTTAGTATGAGTGCATGTAAAGACCAGAAATCCATACAGGATGTCTGTCTGTCTCTCTCATTTGAGTCTGGGTGTCTCACTAAACTGGGAGCTACCAATCTAGCTAAGTTGTCAGGCCATTGAGCTCCGGGAATCTGTTTCTGTCCCCCCAGTGCTGGGGTTAAGGTACACATGCTATGCCTGGCTTTCTATGTGGGTACTAATGATCTGAACTCAGGTCCTCACACCTTTTTAGAGCTAGGCCAGGGAGCAAGAGTCTGAGAGCACAAAGCCCCTCCTCCCTTGCACAGGTGCTAAGTTTAGGTGACAGTGACTTTCCTGTCTTCTCCCAGAAGGTCAGAGAGCTGTGCACAGGGACTCCTGCAGCTGCAGAATTTACTGAGACTTGATTGATGGAGA